TCGAAAATTTAAAAATGAAAAAATTGAAAAATCACGAACATGGAAATTTTTAAAATTGAAGAACTAAAAAATCGAAATGGAAAACCAAATAATCGAAAAATCGAGAAAACGATAAATGAAGAAGTCGAAAAATCGATTCATCGTTAGGTCAAAAATGCGAAAAATAGAAATATCGAAAATTTAGGAACGCAAAAAATTGAAAATTGGATTCATAGAACAATTAAAAGATCGAAAATTGAAAAATGGAAAAATCGAAAAATCGAAACATTACAAAACGAAAAATTGAAAAACGGAGAAATAGAAAAATTGAAGAATTGAAACATTGAAAACTTCAAAACTGATATATCAAAAAATTGATGATCAGTCGATAAATCGTAAAATTGAAAAATCGAAAGTCCCAAAACTGAAATACCGAGAACTTGAAAATCGAAAAATCGAAAAGTGAAAAATCACGAACATGGAAATTTTTAAATTTGAAGAAGTCGAAAACTCGATTCATCGAAAGGTCAAAAATTCGAAAAATAGAAATATCGAAAATTTAGGAACGCAAAAAATTGAAAATTGGAATCATGGAACAATTAAAAAATCGAAAATTGAAAAATCTAAAAATCGTAAAATGGAAAAATCGAAAAATCGAAACATTACAAAACGAAAAATTGAAAAACCGAGAAATAGAAAAATTGAAGAATTGAAACATTGAAAAATTCCAAAATTGAAAAATCAAAAATGGATAATTAAAACTCAAAAATTGAAACTTCAAAAAATTGGGAAATCGAGACATCGAAAAGTCAAGAAAAAAAGAAATCAGAAAATCCAAACATAGAAAAGTTGAAAAATCGATTAATCGAGAAGTCGAGAATTTGAAAAATTGACACATCAAAAATTTAGAAACGCCAAAAATTGAAAACTAGAATAATGAAAAAATAAAAAAATTGAAATTGAAGAATCAAAAAACTGAAATGTCGAAATATCGAAAAATTGAAAAACGAGAAATCAGAAAAATCGAAAAATCGAAAATTTAAAAATGAAAAAATTGAAAAATCACGAACATGGAAATTTTTAAAATTGAAGAACTAAAAAATCGAAATGGAAAACCAAATAATCGAAGAATCGAGAAAACGATAAATAACGAAGTCGAAAAATCGATTCATCGTTAGATCAAAAATCAAAAAGATAGAAAAATTGAACAACCGAGAAATCGAGAAATTGATGAATTGAAACGTTGAAAAATTCCAAAATTGAAGGATCGAAAAATTGATAAATCGAGAAATCGGAAAATCGAAAAATCCCAAAACTGAAAAATCAAAAAATGAAAAATCGAAAATCGAAACAACGAAAAATCGGAAATTTAAAATAATAAACAGTGAAAAATCTAAAAACTGAAGAATTGAAAAATCGAGACATTGAAAAGTCAAGAAAGAGAAAAATGGAAAAATCCAAATACAAATAATTCGAAAAATCGATTAATCGAAAAGTCGAGAATTCGAAAAGTCGACAAATCGAAAATTTAGGAAAACAAAAAATTGGAAATTAGAATAATGGAAAAATTAAAAAATCCAAATTGAAGAGATCAAAATATTGAAAGCCGGAAAATTGAGGAATTGAAAAATCGAAAAATCGAAAAATCGAAAAATCGAAATCTTAAAAAATCAAAAATTAAGGTATTATCAAAAAACTGAATAATCAAAAAATTGAAAAATCGAGAAATCGAAAAATTGAAGTATTGGAATATTGAAAAATTCTAAAACTGAAATATCCAAAAATTGATCAATCCATAAGTCGAAAAATTGAAAATTTAGAAAATCCAAAAATTGAAAAATCAAGAATCCGGAAAGATTTTGAAAATTGAAGAATTGAAAAATCGAAATGGAAAACCAAATCGATAAAGTAAGAAGTTGAAAAATAGATTTATGGAAAAATTGAAAAATTCCAAAACTGAGGCAGAAATCGAACATTTAAAAAAATTTTAAAATTGAAAATTATTGGTACTGAAGTATTGAAAAATCGAAAAATCGGGAAATCGAGACATCGAAAAGTCAAGAAAAAGAGAAATGGGAAAATTCAGATATAGAAAAGTCGAAAAATGATTAATAGAGAATTCGAGAATTCGAAAAATTAGCAAATCTCAAAATTTAGAAACGCCAAAATTGAAAATTGAAATCATGGAAAAATAAAAAAATTGAAAATTGAAGAATCAAAAAATTGAAATGTCGAAAAATCGAAAAATTGAAAAATCAATAAATCGAAATATCGAAAACTTGAAAAATTGGTAATTCGAAAAATCTGGAATTAAAAAATTCAAAAATTAAGGTATCAAAAACTGAAGAATCAAAAAATTGAAAAACCCAGACATCGAAACATCAAAAAAACGAAAATTTAAAAACTGAGATATCGAAAAATTGAAGAGTAGAAGCACTGAAAAGTTGCAAAACTGAAATATCGAAAAATTGATAAATCGATAAATCGAAAAATTGAAAAATCACAAAACTCTAACACCGAAAAATTGAAAAACCGAAAAATAAAAAATTTTAACAATCAAAAAATTGGAAAACCAAGAATTGGAAAAATTTTCAAAATGAAGAATTAAAAAATCCAAATGGAAAACCAAAAAATTGAAAAATCAAAAAATGATAAATCAAGAAGTCGAAAAATCGATTGATGGAAAACTTGAGAGATCCCAAAACTGAAACATAGAAATATATATGTATTGAGAAATCGAAAACTTGAAAAATCGAAAAATCTGAAAAATCGGAAATTTGAAAAATCGAAAAATTAAAGAATTGGAAAACCGAAATGAAAAATCAAAATATCGAATATTGAAAAAACAAAAAATTGAAAAATTGTAAAAACCGGAAAATCGAGACATCGAAAAGTCGACAAATCGATAATTTAGGAAAACAAAAAATTGAAAATTGTAATAATGGAATAATTGGAAAATCGAAAATCGAAGAATCAAAAAATTGAAAGCTGGAAAATTGAGGAATTGAAAAATCAAAAATCAAAAAATCGAAGATTTAAAAAATCCAAAAATTAAGGTATCAAAAAACTGAAGAATAAAAAAATTGAAAAATTACAAAACTGAAATATCCAAAAATTGATCAATCCATAAATCGGAAAAGTGAAAATTATCACAATTGAAACGCCGAAAAACAAAAAATCAAAAAATTGAAAATTTAAAAATCAAAAAATTAAAAAATCAAGAGTCCGAAAAAATGTTTGAACTTGAAAAATTGAAAAATTGAAATGGAAGACCAAAAAATCGAAAAATCGATAAATCAAGAATTTGAAAAATAGATTGATGGAAAAATAGAAAAATCCCAAAACTGAAATCTGGAAATATGTATTAAGAAATCGAAAAATTGAAAAATCGAAAAATCGAAAATTTAAAAAATTTAAAAAATTCAAAATCTAAAATCCGAAGAATTAAAAAATCGAAAAATCGGAAAGTGGAGAGAAATCGATTAGTCGATAGGTCGAGAATTCGAAAAAAGAACGCCAAAAGTTGAAAATTGGAATAATGGAAAAATTAAAAATCGAAAATAAAGAATCAAAAAATTGAAATGTCAAAAAATCGAAGAATTGAAAACTCGAGAAATCGGAAAAGTATGAAATTCGAGAAGTCAATACGCCAAAAAAATCGAAAAATTGAAAACCGGGAAATCGAGAAATTGAATAATTGAAACATTGAAAAATTTCAAAACTGCAATATTGAATAATAATTGACAATTCAATAAATCGGAAAATTGAAAAATCTAAAACACCAAAAAATTGAAAATTCGCAAAATCGAAAATTTAAAAGTCAAAAAATTGAAAAATCAAGAATCTGAAAAAGTTTAAAATTGATGAACTGAAAAATCAAAATGAAAAAATTAAGAAATTGTAGTCCTGACACAACGGAAAATCGTAAAAAAGGAAAAATAAAAAAAATTGAAAAATTGTATAATTGAAAAATCGGAAAATCTAGAAAATGCAAGTTAAAAAAAATGAAAAATTTAAAATTCGGAAACAGAGAAATTGAAGACATGAGAAATCTCAAAATTGAAATATCGAAAAACTGAATATTCGAAAAATTGAAAATAGAGAAATTGAAAAATTAAAAATTGAAGTCCTAAATATCAATAATCTGAAAAACCTAAATTTCAAAAGAAATCAAAAAATTATAGGATTTTGACTTTTTTCCAAAAATTCTCGATGTCTAGGATAAAACTTCAACACGGATACACAAACCACAAGTTCAGGACCACGTTTCTTTTTAACATTTAAAAAACATTTATTCGACAAAAAAATAGGAAAACATCATCAATTTTCAGGGGACATGAACGGATAAATTTTAGTCAACGGTTTACCATGTTTTCGATAACGTTAAAACAAGATTTCAAAGCATTCGTTTTGCAATTTTAAAGTTAAATAGTAAAAAAATCGTCATATATTTTTAATTTTTTATAAAAACCTGGAAGTCTACTTTGCGATTTTATCTGTCTAATAAAAATCGACATAGACTGCGGACAGACAGACGGAAACGAGAGACCTATCTTTTCGTGGTCTATTGGAATCCAGAACTTCAGAGCAAGAATTTTGCATTTTCTAAAACAAACTTTCAAAATGTGTTCTAAAATATTGATTTTTTTATCAAAATAAATATATACTTGGTAATGTCAAATAATATAAAATTTCAATTTTTTGCTTGTAATTTGTAACGTTTCTTGTTTTATTTAAAATCATAGAGTAGAGTAGAGTAGAGTAGTGACTGACCACCCGGAGACAGCCCTCTTGGACCTTTACAATAGGCTTTAATAAGGGGCTAAAATTGCCCCCTCCCTCCTTAACAAACCCCCCCTTAACAAACACTGTACACTATTTGCCCACACACTGCTTGCGATTATCGATACGTCAACCACCCTTCCTCCACTTTCTCGATAATCCGCTTTCGCCTCGTTCCATCGCCGCTAGTTTTAATCAAGCCGCCCCACTATTAATTAACACCAAACTAACAAACTCACCTGTATCTGACAAACCAATTCCCCATACGGCCAGCAGTGTCTCAGCGACGGCACGACCGCAAACGGGGTGACCAGCAACCCCATCGCCAGATCGTTGCTCGCCAGAGACGTCAGGAGATAGCGCGGCTGCAACAAAATCAACACGAACTCTTAATCCCGCGAATTTAACTCCCCGGGAATGAATAGCAATAGTAAATTTCTCTAAGAACTAACCGCAATTACCACTTCTCTTCTTTTAATTAAAAGCCATCCAACTTCGAGCCTAATTTGTCAGTTACTTGGAAGGGAAAATGAGCTAGATGAGGAAGTGGTTTAGTGTTATTACAATAGGAGCGAAATAATGCAGAGATTAAAAAGTTTGTGTGCTGTGTAATTATGGCGACAGGGACGACGAGGAAAAAGGGCTGGAGCCCTTAATCCCGTTTTTACACGGTTTGCTCTAGCATTAATGCCGAGCCGGGATTAAGTGAAATAGTGTGAATATTTTTCAGTGTAGTGTTTAAGAGGCGAGGCGTTTAGCGAGGAATTTGTCCGGGAAATTGGTTTTCGCAACCGGAGTCTTTGAGAACTCATTAGGGATTTTGATGTTGGTGGGTTTTCGGTGTCACGGAAGAAGGATTCAGGAGGTTTGTATCAGTTTTCTATTGCAATTAAAGGAGAATCCGCAATTTATTTTTACTGGTAGTAATAGTTGTTCACTCAATTAAAAACTAAAACGAAATAAACATTCCATGTTTACGTTCTCAGAATGCCGCCTTTAATTTTTTCTAAATTACTGAATGCTCTGGTTTCCAAATCCTTGTTTCAGATGAGATAATTTTATCGGATTTCCACATTTTTAAATGTTTAGTTTAAGTCAAGCTAGATTTTCACAATGCCTATATCTTAATATTTCTGGACTTCTAGAATTACACACGTTCAGGTTTCTCTATTTCCAGTTTTACATATATCTAGAACTTCATTTATAGATATTCATGTCAGATAGAGATAAGGGAATTTTCCTGGATTTTCTGATGTCCAAATATCCAGTTCAAATCAAGTCAGGTTTTCCGAAAACCAGATTTGAAGACAGCTAGAACTGTAGATGTTCAGATTTCTCGATATAACTCTTCAAAGGATTCTATGTTTCCAGTTCTTCGGATTGCTGAATTATTTTATTAGATGAGGTCATTTTATCAGATTTACAAATTGCTAAATGTCAAGGTCAGGTTACGTCAAGTCTCCACAATGCCAAGTTTTTAGATTGCCAATGTTCTATCATTTGAAATATTTAAGTTGCTCTATCTAAAAATTTACCTAAATATTTCTAGAATACTAGATGTCCAGATTTCTAGATATTTGTTCAGATGGGGCAATTTATGAAGCTTACAGGTTTTCAAATGTCCAGGCCAAGTGAAGCTAGATTTTTAGAATACCAAGGGTTTCCAGACTTCTAGAATCAGATGTTCAGGTTTCTCGGTCCACACTTATACAGATTTTTCGATTTCCTGGTGTTCAGGTTAGTTTTTTCATATAAAATAAGAAGTTTTTTCTAGATTTTCTGGTGTGCAAATATCCAGGTCAAGTTAAGTCAGGTGTTCACACTGCTAAATTTTTATGTTTCCAGACTTCAATTATCTGAAATATTTAGGTTTCCCTATTTTCAAGTTTAAATATGCCTAGATTACTAAATGTTCAGATTTTCAAATATTTACTCAGATGAGGCAATTTTATGGAATTTAAAGGTTTCCATATGCCCAGGCCAAGTCAAACTAGATTATTAGAATGCCAAGTTCTATGTTTGCTTAAAATTACAAATGTTTAAACTTGTCTTTGTAGATATTAATGTAAGATCAGATATTTTTTCAGATTTTCTGCTGTCCAGATGTCCAGGTCAAGTCAACTCACGTTTTCAGAAAACTAGGTTTCAAGCCTGCATTCAGATTTCTTTATATAAAATTATCAAATTTTTCCGAGTTTGAGATGTTCAGATTTTGGATATTTTTACCAGATCTCTAAATTGCTCAAAATCCAGATCAGGTGAAGTCGGGTTTTCACAATGCTTTTATATGTTTTCCTATTTAAAACTTTAAATTTCTCTAGATTACTAGATGTCCAAATTTCCAGAAATTTATTCAGATGATTGATGTTTTAGAAAATAAAAATTTCCAATATCCAGGTTAAGTTAAGCTAGGTTGTCACAATTCCAAGTTCTTATATTCGCAGATTTCTAAATTCCAAGCGTTCAGATTTCTGTATTTCCTGGTGTTCAAATTTACAGATATTTATATCAGATCAGAATTTTTTTCCAATTTCCTGGTCATATCAAATCAGATTTTCAGAAAACCAAGTTTCAAGTCAGATTGAACTGCAGATGTTTAGATTTCTCTATATAAATTTCCAAATTTTCTAGATTTTCAGATGTTCAAATTTTTAATATCTTTAGCACATATTCAAATTGCTAAATTTCTAAGTCGAGTGAAATCAGATATTCACAATTTCAAATTTTTAAAAGTTTCTCAATTTAAAACTTTAAATGTTTCTAGATTAGTAGATGATCAGATTTCCAAAAAATTATTCAGATGAGGTAATTTTATGGAATTTAAAAATTTTCAAATCTCCAGGTCAAGTCAAACGAGGTTATCAGAATTAGAAGTTCTTATGTTTGCAGACTTCTAGAATTCCAAAAGTTTAGATTTCTCTATTTCTAGTTTTAAGTATTTCTAGTTTCCTGGTGTTCAGATTTGTAGATATTTAAATCAGATCAGAATTTTTTTCCAGATTTCCTGCTATCCAGATATCCAAATCAGGTTTTCAGAAAACCAGGTTTCAAGTCGTGTTGAACGGCAGATGTTTAGATTTTTCTATATAAAATTTCCAACTTTTCTAGTTTTTCAGATGTTCAGATTTCTTGATATTTTAACAGATCTCCAAATTGCTAAACATCCAAGTCAAGTGAAATCAGATATTCACAATGCCAAGTGTTTATAAGTTTCTCTATTTAAAACATTAAATGTTTCGAGATTACTAGATGACCAGATTTCCAGAAATTTAACCAGATGAGGTAATTTTATGGAATTTAAAAATTTCCAAATGTCCAGGTCAAGTCAAACTAGGTTATCAGAATTAGAAGTTCTTATGTTTGCAGACTTCTAGAATTCCAAAAGTTTAGATTTCTCTATTTGTAGTTTTAAGTATTTCTAGTTTCCTGGTGTTCAGATTTGTAGATATTTATATCAGATCAGAATTTTTTTCCAGATTTCCTGTTGTCCAGATATCCAGGTCAAGTCAAATCAGGTTTTCAGAAAACCAGGCTTCAAGTCGGGTTGAAAGGCAGATGTTTAGATTTCGCCATATAAATTTCCAAATTTTCAAAATTTTTAGATGTTCAGATGATGTTATCTTATGGAATATAAAAAATTCCAAATGTCTAGGTTAAGTCAAGCTAGGTTATCAGAATTCCTAGTTCTTACTTAAAGATTTCCAGTTTTCCTGGTGTTCAGATTTATATCAGATAAGAAATGTTTTCCAAATTCCCTGGTGTCCAGATATCCAAATCAAATCAAATGAGATTTTCAGAAAACTAGGTTTCAGATCGGATTGAATGATCTTTAGATTTTTCTATTTTGTAAAAATTTCCAAATTTTCTTGATTTTCGGATGTTCAAATTTTTGGATATTTTTACCAGATCTCTAAATTGATAAATATCCAGGTCAAACCAAGTCAGATGTTCACAAGTTTTTATATGTTTCTCTGTTTAAAACTTTAAATAATTTTAGATTACTAAATGTTCAAATTTCCAGAAATTTATTGAAATGAGGTTATTTTATTTAGGTTAGAAGTTTCCAAAACGCTAAGTTATTAAAATTTCTCTATTTCCAATTTTAAACACTTCTAGATATTCTGGTGTTCAGTTTTATAGACATATATGGATAATAGTTTTTTTCCCAGACTTCCTAGTGTTCAGATGTCGGAGTCAAATCAGGTTTTTAGAAAACCAGGCTTCCAGACAATTAGAATTGCAGGTGTCTAGGTTTCTCTATTTAAAATTTTCAAGAATTTTGGATTTCAAGTGTCACACTGACCTGTTTTACATCTCCGCAATTTTAATGTTTGAACTATTTAGGTTTCTTTATTCAAATATTTAAATATTCTAGAATACTTGAATAGACTAGATGTTCAGATTTTCACATACTTGTTCAGACAAGGTAATTTTATAGAATTTAGTCCAAGTTAAATCAAGCTAGATTTTCACAATCCCAAGTTCTTATATTTCCAGACTTCTAGAATCAGAGGTTCAGGTTTCTCTATTTCTGTTTTTAAACATTTCTAGATGTCCTGGTGTTCAGATTAATGGATTTTTATATCAGATAAGAATTTTTCCAGATTTTCCTCAACTCAGGTTGTTCAGATGAAGTAATTTTGTCAAATATAGGTTTCTATAGGTTCAGGTCAAGTCAAGATCAAACTTCTAGAATCAGATGTTCAGGTTTCTTTATTTTAAACATTTCTATATTTTCTGATTTATTGATTTATTTAAATCAGAAAAAAGTTTTTCCCAGATTTCCTGGTGTACAATATTCAGGTCAAATCAAGCCAGATTTTCAGAAAACCAAGTCTCAAGACAGCTACAATTACAGATATTCAGATTTCTCTATTTGAAAGTTCAAAGGATTCTAGGTTTACAGTTGTTCGAATTTCTGAGTTATTGTATCAGATGAAGTAATTTTAGCAGATTTCCAACTTTCTAAATGTCTAAGCCAGATTAAGCCAGGTTTTCACAATGCCTAGTTTTTATATTTCTGGACTTCTATTGGTTGAAATGTTCAGATTTCTCTGTTCAGAAGTTTAAATATTTTTGGAATTCTAGATGTTCAGATTTCCAGATATTGGTTCAGATGAGGTAATTTTATCAGATTTATAAGTTTTCAAATGTCTAAGCCCATTCAAGGTAGATTTTGAGAATGTCAAGTTTTTATATTTCTTGGTTTCTAAAATCAGATGCTGAAGTTTCACTATTTCCATTTTTCAACATTTTTATATTTGGTTGTCACCAGATTTACAGGATTTATTTCAGATAAGAAGTTTTTCTGACTTCCTGATCTCCAAGTTTTCACGTGAACTCAAGTAAAGTTTTCAGAAAATCATGTTACTAGACAACTAGAATTGGAGATGTTCAGATTCCTCTGTTTTAAAATATAAAAAATTCTAGGTTTTCAAATGTTCGGATTTCTGGATATTTGTATCAGGTGGATCCATTTGTCGGATATCCAAATTCAGATCAGGTTAAGCCAGATGTTTACAATGCCTATTTTTAGTTTTTCTAGGCTTCTATTTGAAATAGCTACTTATTCAGGTTTCTCCATTCACAAGATTAAATATTTCTATAAAACTATAAGTTCAGATTTCCAGATATTTGTTCAGATGAGGTGATTTTGTCAAGAAGTGTATAAGTTTCTATAGGTTCAAGTCAAGTCAGTTCAGATTTCTCTATTTAAAAGTTTAAAGGATTCTAAGTTTACAGATGTTCGGATTTCTGAGTTATTGTGTCGGATTAGGTCATTTTACCAGATTTCCAACTTTCTAAATATCTAAGTCAGATTAAGCCAGGTTTTCACAATCCCTAGTTTTTATATTTCTGGGTTTCTATTGGTTAAAATGTTCAGATTTCTCATTTCAGAAGTTTATATATTTTTTAAAATACTAGATATTCAGATCTCTATATATTTGTTCAGATGATGTAATTTTATTGAATTTGCGGGTTTCTGATACCCAAATCAATTCCAGCTAAATTTTCAAAATACGAAGTTTTTCGATTGCAGGCTTCTAGGATTACATGCATTCAGTTTTCTCGATATCAAGTTTTAAACATTTCTAGTTTTATTGGTGCTCAGATTTATGGAAATTTATAACAGACAAAAAGTTTTTCTTAGATTTTCTAGTTTCCAAATTCCCAGTCACGTCAAGAGAGGTTTTCAGACTTCTAGAATTGCAAATGTTCCGGTTCCCCTACTTTAAAATTTAAAGGATTCTAGCTTTTCAGATGTTCAGATTTCTGGATATTTGTATTAGATGAAGTCATTTGTCAGATTTTCAAGTTACTAAATATCCACCCACGTCAGTTTAAGTCAGGTATTCACAATGTCAAATTTTTACTTTTCAAACTTTTATAATTTGAAAATTTCAGGTTACCCTATTTAAATGTAGAAATATTTCTGGATTGTTACATCTTCAGTTTCCAGATATTTGTTCAGATGAGGTAATTTTGTCAGATTTACAAGTTTTCAAGTATCTAAATCCATTCAAGCTAGAGTTTCAGAACGCCAAGTTTTTATATTTCCAGGTTTCTAGAATCAAATGTTCAGGTTTCTCTCTATCCAGTTTTAAATATTTCTATATTTCCTGGCGTTTAGATTTATGAATTTACTTATATTAGAAAGGAGGTTTTTCCCGCATTTCCTGGTGTTCAATATTCAGGTCAAGTCCAGCCAGGTTTTCAGGAAACCAGGTTTTAAGGAAGCTAAAATTGCAGATGTTCAGATTTCTCTATTTAAAAGTTCAAAGGATTCGAGGTTTACAGATGTTCGTATTTCTGAGTTATTGTATCACATGAGGTCATTTTACCAAATTTCCAACTTTCTAAATGTCTAAGTCAGATTAACCCAGGTTTTCACAATCCCTAGTTTTTATATTTCTGGGTTTCTATTGGTTGAAATGTTCAGATTTCTCATTTCAGAAGTTTATATATTTTTTAAAATACTAGATATTCAGATCTCTATATATTTGTTCAGATGAGGTAATTTTATTGAATTTGCGGATTTCTGATACCCAAATCACTTCCAGCTAAATTTTCAGAATACGAAGTTTTTAGATTGCAGACTTCTAGGATTACACACGTTCAGTTATCTCGATATCAAATTTTAAACATTTCTAGTTTTACTGGTGCTCAGATTTATGGAAATTTATAACAGACAAAAAGTTTTTCTTAGATTTTCTAGTTTCCAAATTCGCAGTCACGTCAAGAGAGGTTTTCAGACTTCTAGAATTGCAAATGTTCCGGTTCTTCTAGTTTAAAATTTAAAGGATTCTAGCTTTCTAGATGTTCAGATTTCTGGATATTTGTATTAGATGAGGTCATTTGTCAGATTTTCAAGTTACTAAATATCCACCCACGTCAGGTTAAGTCAGGTATTCACAATGTCAAATTTCTACTTTTCAAACTTCTATAATTTGAAAATTTGAGGTTTCTCTATTTAAATGTAGAAATATTTCTGGATTGTTACATCTTCAGTGTCCAGATATTTGTTCAGATGAGGTAATTTTGTTAGCTTTACAGGTTTTCAAATGTCTAAATCAATTCAAGCTAGAGTTTCAGAACGCCAAGTTTTTATATTTCCAAGTTTCTAGAATCAAATGTTCAGGTTTCTCTCTGTCCAGTTTTAAATATTTCTATATTTCCTGGCGTTTAGATTTATGAATTTACTTATATTAGAAAGGAGGTTTTTCCCGCATTTCCTGGTGTTCAATATTCAGATTTCAGGAAACCAGGTTTTAAGGAAGCTAGAATTGCAGATCTTCAGATTTCTCTATTTAAAAGTTTGAAGGACTCTAGGTTTCAAATGAGGTCATTTTACCAGATTTCTAACTTGCTAAATTTCTAAGTCAAGTTAAGTCAGGTTTTCACAATGCCTAGTTTTTATATTTCTGGACTTCTATTGACTGAAACGTTCAGGTCTCTGTGTTCAGAAGTTATTTTTTTTTTTTTAGGATACTAAAGTTTAGATTTTCAGATGTTTCTTCAGATGAGGTAATTTTATCTGATTTACAGGTTTTCAGATTAAATTTCCTAGTGCCTAAATATGATGTTCAGATCAGGTCAGTTAAGTTTTCAGAATTCCGGTTTTTCAGATATTCAGATGTTCAGTTTGCTACATGTATAAGTTCAAAGAGTTCTGCCTTTGCAGATTTTTGGATTTCTCAACATTTGTCCATATGTAGTGGTACGTCAGGGGTTCCGAATGAGAGATTCTTATATTTTCAGACTTGCTTCTATTTAGTTGAAAGATTGAGGTTCCTCTATTTCTAGAAATTTCACATTTTCTCAATATGTACTTTAATAGGGGAGAACATAGAACAATGTTGAAATTCCACTAAATTACAAAGGGATTTTTTTTTCCAAGACTCGCCAAAAATACTGATGGTTTTAAGAGTCTAATTTTGTCGTAATAAACCCGTCTAAGCGCACCCACCTGCGAATGTATATACTTGGAGTACCTCCTGCTGTTGATGACGAGGATGAGCAGCACGTTGGCCGCCAGGACCCCGACGGTGAGCATCAGCACGATGAACGCCTGCAACACATCACCGGGCCCCAGCATCGACAGGAAGCTCGCTTGGCTGTACCTCGGGTGCGTACAGCTAATATTTTGCAGAGCTGGCGCCACAAGAATCGTCGTTTTGTGATGCATCTCGCACCTTCTCCGACTTGCCGCACCGACTTATTGCTACCTAGACTTGTAGTCGTTGACGCACTGGCTCTCCAGCCTCCTCTTTAGCATTTTCCCGCAGAACGCCGAGTCTATGCACATGCAGATTCCTGCAACAAAACGACCAATCATGAGTACACTTTACGCGTAAGACGCTGCTAAACTGGTCCCTTGCTAGTCGTAAGTAGGCGATCCGACCGACTGCGCCAAAACGACGAGCTGCGATAGATTAAGTGCAGCGAAGCAAAGTGCACAGAAGAAACACCTAATATCGGGTGATTTAAGGGCCCGAGGGGCTGGAATCGCAGATCGAGGATAGAGAGTGCCGGAGCCGCCCTTATCTGACCTCCCCCTGAGCGGAGAGAACAGTTTCGGACAAATATACTCGTAAGATAAGTAAATAGTGCTTTCGTAACCGATACGTTTTCAACATGTCCGAGATAAATTGAGTTTTGTATATTTATGAAGGCGCTAAAGGGACGCACGAGACAATATCGGGCGTTAGTGGCGGCGTTATCACAAGGGCGGGCGGCTGCGGTGGGTGCGTTAATTACGTTTAAGGTAGACGGATGTTCGAAAATATTTGTTTTAAAGAAAAGGAGACCCTGGGCGCTCTCTTTGAGGGAAATGATGTATTTGCGGAGTGCGGGACACTCGGTACTGTTATAATTAAATTATGTAAATATTTGGTCACCACTATGTTCTCCTGGTTCCAAGAGAAGTAAAATTGAATCTCAAAAATTGGAATTGTCTAAAAAATAAATATTTAAGTACTTTAATTGCTAAATATACTGTTCCATGGACTCCAATCCCTTCAAACATCTTCTACTAATTTATTTTTATTTTTGTAGATAAATTTTTTCATCATTATGAAACAAACATTTTAAAATTTAAATTGTTATATGGGTGTCTCAAACAATTTACAAACAAAAATAAAATTGTTTCAATCGACCTCAACATTGTCAGTGTCTTCAGAAATTTTGCAAGACCACGAATTCCGGGTTATCTTTAGCATACTTTCACAAATAATCGAGAAAAACGCGTTTTAAGTAAAAATTAGTAGTACACAATCGATCCTAAAAGCGGTTGAAATCTCGACTAGTTTTATTATTTTTCTCCAATGTTAACTTGTTTAAAAATACACTAAACCCTTAAAATTTCTACCAATTTTCTAGAAGTGCCAAAATGATATATGGCAATTTATAGAATTTTCGAAAATTTTAATTTTTCAATGAAACTTTTGCATCTTTATTCGAGCACCCTCGAAAATTACCAACAGAGATTTTCTTGGAAACTTCGACCTCCCGAAGTTATTTTCAGCTTCATTTCTTATAAAATTTGTATGATTTTTTTTAGAGACGCCAAAATCAAATCTAACGACCTTCAGAAGTTTTAAAAATCCAACTATTCAAAAATCTCAATTTTTCAATGTTCCGCCTTACGAAATTTTTGCCTTCTTTTCGAGAGTCTTCGATATTACCAAAAGAAATTTTTTTGAAAAGAAGTCATTTTATCGAGAATTTCAACCATTTTTCCAGAATCGGCAAAATGAAATATGATAATTTTTGGAAAGAGATTTTTTAGGAAATTTCGACCTCCTGAAGTTACATTTGGCTTAGTTTTTCAGAAAATTTCTACCGTGTTGCCAAAATTGGCGAAAATATCACTATTCTTATAATTCTTAAAAAGTTTACTTTAAAAGCGAATATTTCAAAAACTAGGAATTAGTTCGTCGAGATCAAGATACCAAAATTTTTTGACCATTTTGACCTTCTTTTGACATCCTTGAAAATTACCTAAAAAGATTTTCTTGAAAATGACAACCTCCATAGGTGATTTTGGCTTCTTTTCTTAAAAAATTTCTACTATTTTTTCAGAAACACCAAAATGAAGTAAGATTTCGTCGAGATCTAGAATTTTTTGAGAATTTTGACCTTCTTTGAGCATCTCCGAAAATTACTTAAAGAGATTTTTTGAAAATTTAATCGGAAAATTGAAATATGACAATTTTTATAATTTTCAGAAATTTGACTTTAAAAACGAATTTTTCGAAAATCTTGCTCTTTCGTTGAGGTCCTTCCCAGAATTTTTTAGGATCTTCACCTTTTTACAAGCATCCCTACCAAGATTACCTAAAGAGATTTTCTTGAAAATTTCAACGTCCACAAGTCATTTCTGGGTTCATATCTTCGAAAATTTCTACCATTTTTCCAGAATCGCCAAAATGAAATTTGACCATTTTTATAATTTCTAAAAATTGACTTTAAAAATTTCTACCATTTTTTCAGAATCGCCAAAATGAAATTTGACCATTTTTATAATTTCTAAAAATTGACTTTAAGCGATTATTTCGAAAATCTTGGTCCAATACCCTTAACACATTATGTTTTTCGAATATATACCTCAGGACTTTTTAACGATTTTTGGGCAACTTTTCAAAAATCTCAATTTTTCAGTTCATATGACATTTTTGGCCATTTAGAACTCTTCGGAAATTACTTAAACACAAACATTTTCTTATAGATTTCATCTTGTAGAAGTTATATTCACCTTGATTTCTTCGAAAATTCGAACAATTTTTCCAAAATCGATGAAATGAAAAATAATAATTTTCGAAATATTATAAAATTTCATTTTCAAATCTAATATTTAGAAAACTTGGTCCGATTATTCTTATTCGTACACACGTAATATTTTATGAATCAGCTCGTCGACAACTATTCCCAAATCATTTTTTGAGGATTTTTAGAAAACTTTTCAAAATTCTTAATTTTTCAGTATTCCCCTTGATAAAATTTTTAATCTTCTTCGAGCATCTTCGAAAATTATCAAAAGAGATTTTATTGGAAATTTGGACATCCTGAAGTTATTTTCAGCTTCATTTCTTATAAAATTTCTACTATTCTGCCAGAATCGCCAAAATGAAAAATGACAATTTTTATAATTTTTTTTTAAATTTATTTTAAAAGGGGATATTTCGAGAATTTTAGTCCAGTACTATCAATACATTATGTTCTTTGAATCAGCTCTTCGAAATCTATATTCTAGAATTTTTTGACGATTTTTGGGCAAACTTTTTAAAAACCTCAATTTTTCAAATCGTATGACATTTTCACTTTTTTCGAGAATCCTTCGGAAATTATTTAAACACATTTTCCTACATATTTGACCTTGTAGAAGTTATTTTCGGGTTTATTTCTCCGAATATTCCAAGAGTTTTTCTAAAATCGTTAAAATGTGTAACGAAAATTTATTAATTTTCGAAAATTTTCGTCTGGGATCATTAACAATTTATTTTAATCAATTCAGATCACTGAGATTTTTTTTGTAAATTCCGCCTTGTAGAAGTTATTTTCGGATTGATTTCTTCGAAAATTCTAACAATTTTTCCAAAATCGATAAAATGAAAAATGACAATTTTTATAATTTAAAAAAAAATTGACTTTGAAAGCGAATATTTCGAGAATTTTGGTCCAGTACCATTAATATATTATGTTTTTCGAATCAGCTCGTCGAAATCTATACCCCAGAATTTTTCGACGATTTTTTGTCAACTTTTAAAAAATCTCAATTTTTTAGTTCGTGTGACATTTTTGGCCTATTTTGAGAACCCTGCGGAAATTACTTAAAGATATTTTCTTGTAAATTTTGTCTTGTAAAAGTTATTTTGGGCTTGATTTCGTCGAAAATTCCAAAAGTTTTTCTAAAATAGATAAAATGTAAAAAGAAAATGTATGAGGTATTTAAGAAATTTGTTATAAAATCGAATTTTCGAAAATCTTCGTCTGCAAGCATCAACATATTCTATTAATCAAATCAACTCGTTGAGATGACTTTTTTGTAGATTCCGACTTGTAGAACTTGTTTTCAGCTTTATTTTTTTGAAAATTCAAACAATTTTTCCAGAATTGATAAAATTGAAAATGATAATTTTCGAGATACTCCAAAATTTCATTTTCAGATCGAATTTTGCAAAAAATTTTCTGATTATTCTTAATAGTCCACACATTATATTCTTTGAATCAGTTAGTCGAAAACTATTTCCCAAATAATTTTCTGACGATTTTTAGGCAACTTTTCAAAATCTTAAATTTTTCAGAATTCCTTCTTTATGAAATTTTTTATCTGTTTCGAGCATTCTCGAAAATTACCAAAAGATAATTTTTTTGGAAATTTCGATTTCCTGAACTGATTTTCGGCTTAATTTTTTATAAAATTTCTATTATTTTGCCAGATTCGCCAAAATGAAATATGACAATATTTATAATTTTTTAAAAAATTTATTGTAAGAGGAAATATTTCGAGAATTTTAGTCCAGTACTATTGATACATTATGTTCTTTGAATCAGCTCTTCGAAATCTATATTCTAGAATTTTTTGACGATTTTTTGGCAAACTTTTCAAAAATCTCAATTTTTCAAGTCGTATGACATTTTCACCTTTTTTTGAGAACCCTTCGGAAATTACTTAAACACATTTTCCTAAAGATTTGATCTTGTGGAAGTTATTTTCAGGTTCATTTCTCCGAATATTCCAAGAGTTTTTCTAAAATCGTTAAAATTTCTAACGAAAATTTATTAATTTTCGAAAATCTTCGTCTGGGATCATTGACAATTTATTATATTAAAATCACCTCATTGAGATTTTTTTTGTAGATTCCCCATTGTAGAAGTTATTTTCAGAATGATTTCTTCGAAAATTCTCACAATTTTTCCAAAATCGATAAGATGAAAAATGAAAGTTTTCGAGACTAAGGATTAAGGACTAAAGACGAAGGACGAAGGAGTAAGGACGAAGGACGAAGGACCAAGGACTAAAGATTAAGGACAAAGGTTTAAGGACTAAGGACTAAGGACTAAGAACTAAGAACTAAAGACTAAAGACTAAGGACTAAGGACGAAGGACTAAGTATTAAGGACTAAGGACTAAGGACAAAGAGCGAAGGACGAAGGAAGAAGGACTAAAAACTAAGGTCTAAGGTCTAATAAATTTTCTACAAATCAATTTTTATTTTTGTGGATAAATTTTCTCATCATTTATTCAGGATTTTGTTAGTACCGCGAATCTGTGTTTATTTTTAGCGTATTAATAGTACAAAATGAACCCGAAA